TCGGATTAGGAACAAATTAGTTTCTTCGCACACTCATTGCTTGAGGTCTTCTAGGTATTTCGAGGTTTTCTAATAATTTGTCCTGCCTTACTGTTTGATGATAGTTAATGGAGAAGTATTCATAATCCAGAGGCTAGCAGTCGAGTGTCGGTCTAGCTCTTCCAATTCGTCGTTTCAGCTAAACGTATAAGGTACTGATGTTGACGTTCGCCTGTTTGTTCGTAATGGCTAGCGACGTTGTTTTTACAGAATAGATCATTTCTTCTCTTTGATATCTGAATGATAATTGGTCCTTTCTTTGGCTCACCATGGTCATTTCGTTGCTTTGTTAATGTGTTCGAATGCTGTCCGTTCTATTTCCAGACATGACCGCTGATGCGAAATATACTTCGCCACGATGGCGAATCTATGCCATGGCAATGCTATCCTTAGGTTTCACTCTCGTCCTTTTCGGTGTACTGATGCATCTAGTTTTCATTCCAGTCATTATCAACAACAAAGTCAGAAAGGTACGTGTATTTCATTCAGTTTATTTGATCATCTAGAACAGCGAAAAACCTTGTCTCCTTAAATTTGTCGCAGTTGTTCCCGTTGCTAGGCTTTCTCAGAAGGTCAACGCTTCGCAGCTAACGGTTATGTTGTCACCACAGTGGAAACCGTACTTTGCATTGGCTTCTATTTAGCTCGTCTTCAGGAAGAAAATATATTGTAATGTTGGGAGATCCATGTTTTTCCCTGTTGGTACTAGAGGACTTTCTCTTCATCTTCAATGTTGTTGAACGCTAGTGGAATTGGTGGTGCCTGAAATTCATGGATAACTCTGTGAGGGTATTACCAATTCTGCGCCACAAACGCTTGCCGACTTTTTTGGACCAGGTGGAGTTCCTCAGGTAGGTCAATTCTGGCGTCATTTTGCCAATCCCGGAAACTTGGAGGTTTTGCTTGGTCGATGCAATGTCGAGCCAAAGCGTATACAAATATTCTACGGTTCCTTTAACTAATTCCCACTGGAAACACTGGCTCTCACAAGCTGCCTGTTAACATATACAATCCGCACGACGAGGGTCGATGACTTCTTAGTGTCTATCTTTTCGCAAGAATTAGAAGAAAGTACTTCACCAGAAGATGATGCTGTTCATATTCATCGAGTGAGTGGAACTCAAACTCTGACACGTATTTGCACGAATCACTCACAAACGACATTGTAGGTGATGTACGTGATACTGTATCTGTGCGGAAAGGTGTTTGAGACCCAGCAATTTCCTTACGCATCAGTCGGGTTACTTCATGATATGGTTTCGCTTTGTGTGATAAGTGGATTTATTACTTCTGGTCTACTTTGCTAAATTGTTTTCGATCTTTCTTTCTACATTTATGCACATTTTTTCTTCATTTTAGTACCAACATTGTCGGTGTGAAACACCGTTTAAAAAGGAAATTACTGCGATACCGTTTCGATGACCTTATGATCGGAAATAGTAGTGTTAACGTATTTCACCTTAAAATCCATTTAAATACCTACATTTCTTTACCTTTTTTATCTTTCATCAACTACTCATAGGGATTAATAGGTGCTGCTGCTGTGAGTAAAATACCTAGAGTTCCGTTAATTTGTTTCTAAAGTTAGGGCGACTTCTTTTCTCACCTCCTGCGTTCTTGATAAAGATGACAACCAAGGGGGTCTTGTTGGGGTCTGTCGGCTGATTCTCTGCGTTTCCCCATAAAAGTGGGCATTGTCGGCGATTATGCGACTACTCGGCGAACTATTCAGTGCAACTTGTTCATTGTTGTGGTGTTACAGCACAGTCGCGAATATTTTCGTTTTAACAGCACCGAAGAAGAAAGGCAGAAGCGAAAACCGACTCGCGTTTGGAAACTCGAATTGAATGGATATGGGTGCAGCATAGTGTTGTACATGGTGAAGAATAATATTAGGTTGTTCAGAAATAAATGAGCGCTTTGAAATATCTATCGTCTTAATGTGTTTTACCAATAAAAATATTCTTTGTATCTTGAAATATTACACACCACCAGAAACCTGACTTTATGCTCTTTCCAAATTTTGTCGAAAGTTAATTTTTTCTCTACCAGTTTTGATCTTTAAAATTTTAGACGTCAAAAACGAATTTTCGTCAAATTTTCTTTCATGAGTTCAAACTCGGTCGTAGTGCAGAAGAGGCCGCTTGAAACATTAATGAAGTTTGTGGTGAAGGTAGTGCTGATGAATCGACGGTCCCGCAAATTCCGATCTGGTGATTTCGACCTCGAAGATCAGGAAGGCCGGAGGCGTCCCAATGAACTTGACGACGACGAATTGAAGGCACTGGTGGAACCAAACACGCGAATAACTGTTCGAGAGCTTGCAGAACAGCTTGGAGTAAGCACAGGAACAATTTTCACTCATTTGAATCGCATAGGAAAAGACAAAAATGCTCAACCAGTAGGTGCTGCACAAATTAAACGATAGTCAAAAAATCGCCGTTTTGAAGTGTCGGTGCGCAATAAACTCCTTTTCTTATGGAATTGTGACGTGCAACGAGAAGGGGATTCTGTACGACAACTAGCAACGTTCAGCTCAATGGCTGGAATGCGATCAGGCTCCACAGCACTTCTTGAAGCCGAAATTGCACCGAAAGGTTATCGTGACTGTTTGGCGGTCTGCAGCCAGGCTGATTCATCACAGCCTTTTGGATCCGAGCGAAACGAATACGGTAGTAATATTGCCAACAAATCGACGAAATGCACCGTGAACTCCAACAACAACGACCGCCATTAATCAACAAAGAGAGGCCAATCCTTCTGTACGACAATGCCCAGCCTCACGTTGCGGAACCAGCGCTGCAGAAATTGAACGAATTGGGCCACGAAACTTTGCCTCATTCACCATATTCACCAGACCTGTCACCTATCGGCTATCATTTATTTCTTGAAGCACCTTGACAGCTTCCTGCGCGAGAAATGCTTCACCAACCACGATGACGCAAAAAATGCCTTCAACCAATTCATCGCTTCCAGAACCTCAGAATATTAAGCAACTGAGATAAACGAGCTGGTTTTCCGTTAGCAAAAATGTTTAGATTTGAAAGGTTTCCATACTGATTAATAAAGTTTTGCTTGAAGCAAGTTATGACAATTTACATATTATAGTTAAAACCCCCATTTATTTCTGAACGGCCTAATGCCTCTGATGTCCCTTTAAGATTTGTGAAGATCGACAGCTGGCAGGCGTCTAAGACCGAAACTAGAGCATCTTATTAGTTATTATCTTCCTCATATTCATCATGTTAAAGACAACTGGGCAGAAGAAGCATTATAGTTAAACAATACCTTCTTGGGTTGTTAAGCTTACGTGAGGTTGTTATACAACTCCTATTCGACTAACGTTTCTACGTCTTCGTCTTCATCAGAGCACATGATCTGAGTCGACGGTCCACAATTGTTCGTCTTCTTGATGTCTTGTCTTCGTTGTACCGAGAGGGATCTTCTTCAGTGGAGCACTGCTCGAATGAGCACCGCTCACGTAGCATCGCTTTTTTACATAGGGCGATTGTTGTTGATATGACTACTCGTTAATAATAATTTGTTTTTCGACCGACAATCCACCTACTTTTTTATTTTTTATTTTTCTACTTTATTTGCTCTCATTTTTTTATTTTTTCATTCGCTGAAAAACAAATTATTATCAACGTGTACTCGTATCAACAGCAATCGTCCTTATAAAAGAGCGCTGCCTGGTGAGGTTGTCTCATTCGAGTGGTGCTCCACTAAAGAAGATCCGACTCGAATACGAAGACGAACTAGTATGGACATCGATTGGGGTCAGCGGCTCTGAGGAAAACGAAGACGTCGAAACGTTAGCCGAATAAAACTTATGTAACAGCCTCATGTAAACTTAACAATTCAAAAAGATACTAATTATTAGGGTGTGGTTAAATGACGATTGGTTTGGAAATTATTATGGTTAAGAGCAATTTTGATGTGGTTGTGTCCATATGTTATGAGGAGAAGGACTGAATGTGAATTGTGTTCTTGTGGCAATGGATATGCAAAGTTTCGTAGATTCTCAGCAAGATTATCAAATTCAAAATCGAAATTCCTTTTAAGTCCATACTCTTGTGACTGAAGACAATGCGTTAAATTTACGTGCCGCTTTATACCCAAATGATCCATGTTCACAAGAACAGCATGGTTTCCGACAGTTTCCACGTTCACTGATAAGTCACTACTCCGGCAAGATTTCTTCGCTCGAGTGAAAAATTCCCTGCCAGGGCGTCACCAAAAGCATTCATCGGTGCTTGAGGGTTTGGGCTTTGTTCGTTAGATTTTATTGGGGCAGTAGCGACTATTGGCTACCTCTTGCTTTCGGATAGAAATCTTGAACTCATTCGTAACTTGGATGCCCTTGTTGGGTATGAACACCGCAACATTCCACTTCAACACCCGGCACCACCTCGCAGAAACGGCGAGACGGTAAACCGTTGTTTCGTTTAACCACTGTGATGAAACTAGTTCTATTTTCCTCAGTAATTCGAGCAGATTAACTGTTTTTTTTTATGAAGAAATCCAGTTTTTACGAAGATTTAATCAATTCGTATGGCCCATTCTGACGCATTCAGTAATAGAAATGCTGTTTGTGGTTTGTGATGGATTTGTATGAAGATGCTCGGCCACTTTTTCGAGAAAGAAATAGACATATTGTGAGATGAACCATACTGTTTAGATTAAATGATTGGTTCTCCGTGAATAGGTTTTACTGAAGAGTTAAAAAGGGTTTGTTCTAACTCATAAGTCACGAAAGCGGGTAGAATGCGTTTAAGTATAATAAAAGATATTTTGTTTGATTATTTTTGTGCTTTCTGTGGCAGACTTTAGTCAGGCTGACCTCAGGATTCCAGAGAACCACAATGGCTTAACCAGCAAATCTACGAAGAATGGAGATTATGCTGGGGCCCGCACAGCTAGTGAAGACGGGCCATTCAAGTATCAAGTATTTCTGTTGATTTCAGAACACGAATCTCGCCGACGGGTCACAACTGATGAACAACTGGATGCATCCAAAATATGAGTTTTTGTTTAAGGTAAAATAATATTCTGTTGTACGTTAAATTTAAAAAGTTAGAGATTATAAATGAGAAAAACAGTTAGAAATAAGGCATTTAGAGAGTGTAAATAGGATCACTTAGAAGCTAAGACCTTTCTTTCAAGCAAATACCTAGTGTTTAGGCTTACGCTTATTCCATCAAAAATCCTGACGAAATTATGGAAGGAGCAATACCAGAAGTGAAGGAGTCAGGTCCCTACACGTTTACGAAAAATGTTGTTAACAAAGTATGTTTTTTCCTACATGTACGTGTGGAATGATGTGTACAGGATTCAGATTTCCCTATTCATATTAGCTCTTCCTTCGCTTCCCATACAGGATCAGTGATCTCGTTTGTATGAATTGCTCTAAAAACTTCGTATTTTTATGGTAACTTCCCACTCTAAGTAGTTTAGCACATTATCGTAGCTAAGAGTATTCCTTGGTGTCACGCCTCTCTACGTCGTAGGCCGTTTGTAAACACCAGATTTCGTCCAGCAAAACTGTGATATATCGAAGTGATTCGTTGATGTTTGAAGTTGCTCCGTCCTTGTCATGAATTTAAAAATTACAGTGTTAACTTTTTTATTTACTTCCTATTCTAATTTTAAATAAAAAGTAAACCAAATTACAATCTTAACTCTTTTATTTACTGCCTTTTTCTTCTTAATGGCAGGGTATGTTGCGAAATATAACTCATATGAAATGCTGAGATATTTGCAAAACTCTGGACCACAGGTGTATGCAGTGGGGAATGAACACGAGCTGTTGTCCTTACCGGGGAGCAGCGCACTTCACCACTACACCATTCGGGTCCTTCGCTTTGCACGTCTTTCGGCTAGTTTTCTATCGCTCAATGCGATCAGCAATCACCCGTCAACGGGATTGATCCGGGGAGCCAATATCGGCATTGAACCCAGTTAAGCTGAGGCTTAGTTATAATCACAATCTTAACTCTTTTAGATTTAGATAATCACTCTTTAGAACTAGCTGAGAGGCATGCAAAGCGAAGGACCCGGATGGTGTAGTGGTGAAGTGCGCTGCTCCCCGGTAAGGACAAGAGCGCGTGTTCGTTCTCCATTGCATACACCTGTGGTCCGGAGTTTTGCAAATATCTCAGCATTTCATACGAGTTGAACCAAATTAATTAATTAAGGCGGTAAATATGAAAGTTAACGTTGTGATTTCGACTATAGCCTCAGCCTAACTGGGTTCACTACCGATTCTTGCTCCCCAGATCAACCCCGTTGACGGGTAATTGCTGATCGCATTGAGCGATAGAAAACTAGCCGAAAGACATGCGAAACAAAGGACCCGCATGACGCGGTGGTGAGTGCGCTAGCCCTCAAAAAGGGTAGTAGCGCGTTCGTTCCACAGACACGTGCGGTCCGGAGTTTTGCAAACACCTCAACACCATTGTGATTGTATAAAAATTAAATTTTCTAGTATGCAAATTTTGAAAGGGACCTAATTTAAAAAGTTCGAGTTGACACGTGCATGCGAGGGAAATTATATACGTGAGAACCTGAGACTTTGCTATAAGTTTTCACGCCTCCGAGTTCAAAGGTGCTGTGGTTGTCGGGTTGTTCTGGTCAGTTGTGGCGAGTATGTTGTTTGTATTTTCGAGGTTCTTTCGCATAACAACGGAATCGTGAAGTTCAAGCGGTATGTGTCGTACGTGTTCAACGAGACGGAATCCTGTCAGACTTGCATACTGGGAAATCGAATTTGGATTCCGAACATAATCTACCAGGTAAGTGGATCACAACTGCTCCAATACTTTGTCATTTCTCTCATCGGACAGACAACTTTATCATAGGCATGAAAATTGAAAGAGTAGCTGTGAAACTAGTAAAGGCAAGGAGATTTCTCACGCTACTTGAACACTGCAGCCAGTTGGAACATGGATTCAGACCCATATTTAGCAGTTTTCCATCCATATTAGGATCTCTGCTTATCATAATAAACTTCCTGTGACATCAAAAACCGAAGATTCTATACCACAGCTGTGGTAGCGTAGATACCTTTTAATGTTGTAGATGTCTTTGTAATTATGGTCTCGTCCTCATCTCTTCACTCTGAAGCAATTTCGAAAGAAAAACCCCCTTTAAAGATGTTGGTAGGAGTAAATTCTTTCTTAGTCTCTCAAGATATTCATTATAGAAATTTGTTGAAGCTGCATCAACGGCAGGAATGACGGCCGCCGCAACTACTCTTCTGTCGCAGACGGCTTTTTTGGAAGTGGAAGTAGGCGAGTTTCTCTTCGAAGGATACAAGGATCCATTTCTCGACAAGGTAATTGTTGAGAGCTTTGGTAAAGACTAGACAAGGCCGTCTATCTGTCCAGTGCATTGTATTTCGTACTGGACAGATTCCAGGTTTTATATTCATTTGTTAACTCCGCACCTCAGCAGGTTTAAATATTTGTGCGGTTTTAAGAACAACGCCCTTTTCGGTTTTCTACTACAAAAGTTCTCAAGAACAAAAGCTTAAATTATAATTTTCAATGGATTTTTAGATATGTGAAATTCCATTCATGAACTTCGTTTGTGAGTCGATTCTTGATCTACCGGAACGTATTGGGATTTTTTTCGAGGTCCAGTCCACCTTCACCTACTTCTAATACTTTTAAAACTGTGTATTTTTACCACTTTAGAAGAACAACACTGCTGATGGCGTCTATGAAATTAGTGACGGCGTGGGGATGCCAAAAGATATTGGAAAAATTCATACATGGAATGGAAAGAAATCAGTGGATGCTTCGTGGTACGTTGTTTCAGTCCAACTCCCTGTTGTCGGACTTCAGTACTCCTTTGGTCCCGTTTTTTTTCCTTGAGAAAAATGTTGTCGTGGTGGCCGAATGAGCATTGTATCATAATGTTAAGTAGCGCCAAGTTATTTTGACATATTTTTACATGGTATTTTGAATGGAATTGCTTTTTCTTTCGTTACTGTGCAGCGTACTAGAAATGCATCGTATTAGAAACAAGTTTCAGAAACCCCATTTTATATCATGACATAAATTCCCTGCCAACGGGGGTATTTCTTCTTACAGTGACAATTAAAACGCTATTAGTTTATCGATTTCACCTCATATTGTGTAAAGCAATGATACCGTATCACCTACCTGGGAATTTGATTGTCCGGACGAGAACAGACGAACGTCTTTACAAGGAGTCTAAAGAACCACAAGATGGTCTCTATTTCACTGGAATTTGCTAGTCGAACAAGATTTCTTCCCTGAGGATCTTAAAACCTTAAAGTTTTTTCTTGTCGCATTCAGCGGATCGGAAGATTTCCCACTTTACGACTAGGTCACTATTAGGATGGCAGTGCTTCCTGGAATTGCTTTGCTACTAGCTAGGCACTGGGGTGGAAATTAAAATAAAAATGATATGCTCTGTTTATTACAAAAGACCTTAGAACTGCATGTTTCTTTGGTGCTAGAGCTGTCCTGCAATTGCAAAGTGTCATTGATTCCGTGACAAGCCCTTAGCTTCAATGATCACTAAGTTGGTACCAAATTTGTTCTAATTCTACAGCTAGCTAAGTTCAAGCAATTTAATACTGTGTTTTTGGCCCAGAGAACATGTCTAGTTCATTGATTAAAAGTGCGTGTAATTTACACCTAATCACTGATTCGATCCCTCACCCTCGCCTAATCAGCCCTGCCGTCCTACCGGGGTTGCAAAATTTGTACACTAGCTGTCTGGGAGCATAAAAACACTTAATGGATGATAGAAGGTAGTGCCCCGAAATTCACTCGATAGGCTAAACATGCGTTAAATTACTTCGATGCTTAATAAACTCAAATATATGATGTATCCCTGACAAATAGATCAATGCAGAACATTTTAACACTTCATGTTTTGAAGGTGGTCGAGCCTCAATGCAAGGATGATACGTGGAACGGAAGGCATGTTGTTTCCACCACTTCTGAAAAAGTCGGATAGGATCTATGTTTTCATCAGTCAGATGTGCAGGTGTGGTTTTGCTCTTGTTATTTTGATTATCCCACAGGTTTGTAGTGAAATTTTACTACATCGTATGTCTGTACGAGATAATGAAACTGGTTTGTAGGAAACGAATTTGAAATATGTAACAGTAAAAGTACTAGGTTGTTCAGAAAATAATACAAGATTTCAACCTGTGCTTCAATGTGACATATGCCACCTCGGAGCAAAAAACCATTAGAATCCGACCATTTTTGACAAAGAGAAAGAGTTTCGTCTATTCCAGCTGCGTAAAACTTTGTGCTTCTTAAGGCGATGAATTCGTTGGGGATAGTTTCGCCTTTGATTGGTTTCAGAAGAGTTTCTTATAGAGGAAGTTGTCGAGGTCCTTGAAGAAGCGCTAGTTGGTAGGGGAGAGGTCTGGGCAGTATGATGGATGTTTTATAGTCCGGTCGTTCAACATTTGTAGTGTTGATAACGCGTCGTTTATGGCACGTTATAATAGAGAATGATTGGTCACTTTCTATTGACCAGCGCTGGGCGCAGTAGTTGAAGTTTCTGCTGCATTTCGTCGATTTGCTCGACATAGTTCTCCGCTATGATCGTTTACCCCGAATTCAAGAAAATGTTATGGATCAACCCAGATTTAGACCGGGAAATGTTCACCCGACTTTCTCTCAACTTCGGATTTTGGAACTGCTGCGGAGCTTCATCGCATTCCAAGCACTGTGCAGATCATCGCCAGTTGTCGCAGAGGATTCACTTCTTGTGCCACTTCACAATACGGTCCATAAAACGTTATTTTGCTTCTGCGGAAGAAGTATTGACTATTCCTCAAAGCTGTGATTGCATTAATTGTCATTCAATTCGTTTACCATCCGTTTGTCGAGCTCCTTCGATTTTCTAATGTTCTTCAGGTACCCGAAAAGAGTTGAGATGCTCTCGCCGGGTTCTTCCGCCAGTTCTCGAACAGTTGTGCATGTGCTTTGCTTGCATCACGGCCTTCAACTCATGGTCATAAATAGCAGAATGACGTCTGCAACTCCCCTCAGCTTGAAGGTTGAATTCGCCACGGCGAAATTTTTCAAATCAACGTTGCGCTATGCGTTCGTTAACTCTTCCCTGTTCCATCCCTCACCGATGTTTCGAGCCATTTACTCTGTGTACATCCGAGTTAGAATTCGGAGAAGTACATCTGTCAAAATTATTACTTTGGCATCTGAGATCCTAACCTTTTAAATTGTGAAAAATACAACTTATGTAATAATCCAATTATGCATTGCGGAAGCTCATGAAATGGGCTTTACTTCTAGTAACAATACATATATATATATATATACATATAAATGCACATATACAAAATATACATAATAGTGTAGTAATAAAATTATATATATACATATGTAACTTCAATGATGATAAGATATTTGCAAAACTCCGGACCGCAGGTGTCTGCGGTGGGGAACGAATGCGCTATTACTCTTTCCGGGGAGTAACGCGTCCACCACCACACCATGCGGCTCCTTCGTTTCGCCTGTCTCTCAGCTAGTTCTATCGATCGCTTGTCACCAGCAATCATCCGTCAACGGGATTGATCTAGGTAGCGGAAAGGTAGGCGAAACGAAGGATCCGCATGATGTGGTGGTGGACGCGTTACTCA